GCCAGTTCTGAGGAAGGGTCACTGGACCCGAAACGTTAACTCTGTTTTCTCCTCCACAGATGCTGCCACATATAAATGATATCCTGCTTTAACGGTATTACACAGTATATACAGTGTAGTTAAGACCATTCGGCCCAAGAGATCTCTAAACATTCTCACAGATTCCACGCTCTCAAAACTTAGTAATGTCATTTCTCCTGAACTCCCATTTGGACGTATTAGTAGCTGATTTGTATTTGTGGTCCTTTGTTCCATAGTCAAAATATTGTCTCTCTCTCTCTCTCAACCTTGTTCAAATCCTTTCCTAAGCTTAAAGACGTCTCTCTTTGTCATGTCACCTAGTGTCTCTTTTCTAGGCTCTTCACACTTTCCTGATGTGTGTAGCCCTCTCTGAGCTGGTATAATGCCAGCCTTTGTGTTTGTGACTTCCACTGGCGACTGTCGTTACTTTGATCAATCTTTGCGGACATCTTATAACACACTTCCTGGGCAGGTGTGAGTTGCCCCAGAAAATCTTCACAGAGTAGCACATATGATGCACCTCAGACTGACTTGAAGAATCCAGATTTCTTAATTCAGATGACACTCCTTAATACATTAAGGGCACTGTATAAATGAAAGCTGTTGTTTTGGATTAGTCACTTTGTGTTCTCATGTTGACCGTTGTGAACACAATCAAGTGTTGTATGTGATTTGAATTAGTACCGCATAACAATAGATATCTGTTGCTTTTCCCAACAGAATGCCAAATGCGTTAGCCCGTTCCACACGCAGGGTGGCACTAACATAACCACACAGGTCGGCCCTTATGCCTTTAAGATTCCATATTCCATCCGACAGAAAATCTGTACGAATTTGGATGCACCAAACACCCGAGGCAATGATTGGAGGCTCCTAGCCCAGAAGCTGGGAGTTGACAGGTGAGCAGAGATATGCCTTACGGACTGTCAGCAAAGCAGAATTGGGAAACTGCTAGAATCAAAGAAGCAGTTTCAGGACATTTCGAAAACTAGAACACAATCAGACAGATTCAACGTGGTTTTGTGAAAGGGAGATCTTGTGTGTCAAATACTGAAGTTCTTGGAAGTTGTAACATGCAGAGTGGATGAAGGCGACCAGCAGATGTGGCATATCTAGATTTCCAGAAAGCATTTGCTAAAATACCACATGAAAGGTTACTGAGAAAGATAAGATCTCATGATGTTGAGGGGGTGATATGTAGGCAAGGATAGAGGACTGGCTAACCAATAGGAAGCAGCGAATGCAGATAAATGGGTCATTTTCAGGATGACAAACTGTAACAAGTGAAATGCCACTGGAATTAGTATCAGGGCCTGAACTTTTTATGATCTACGCCAATGACAAGGATGAAGGGGCTGACTGCATCGTCACCAATCCTTCTGTGCAAGGCAACCCCTTCATCCTCCTGAACTAGAATCACACAATATGTACAGTGTGGAAGCAGGCTATTTGGCCCATTGAGCCCACACCACCCCTCTAAAGAGCATCCCATCCCTCTACCCTATCCCTGCATTTCCCATGGCCAATCCAGCTAACTTGCACATCTTTGGACTGTGGGAGGAAACTGGAGCACCCGAAGGAAACCCACACAGACGCGGGAAGAATGTGCAAACTCCACACAGACAGTCACCCAAGGGGGGAAATTGAACCCAAGTCCCTGGTGCTGTGAGGCAGCAGTGCTAACCACTGAGCCACTGTGCCAAACCTTCCCTGCACTGTTACCAAAGCAGTTGCATCTTCCTTAACTAAGGAGATCAGAATTGTCTACAGCACTCTCAGTATAGTCTATGCTACTGTAGCAAGACATCCCTCCTTTTATATTTCAACCCTCAGCAATAAAGAGCAACATTCTACTTGCTGTCCTTCCTGAATGAAAACAAAGTCTGCCAACAAAAGTAAGATTTATTCTCCATCGGAATGCAGTCAGTTAAGAATGGGAATGCAATTTATTTTTTATTCATTTGTCAGCATTTATTGCCTGTCCCAGCTACTGTCAACAGTCAACCAAATTGCTACATTTTTAGGGTTATATTGGGGGAGTTAGGATGAACTGATTCTCCTCTTTCTGCTGGAAAAGGAGGTATCATTAGATGCAACCATTAATTCATTAGTTTATCATATCTCTGTTCCCTCATTTCAATATATGCAAAATATACAGAAGTCCAAGAGCAAACCAGTCTTTCTGTTTCAATCTGAACTAGAAAATTATTGCGCTATCAGTGATATTTCAATTCGTCAGTATCACCGCTCTATTAGAATATACATAGAACATAGAACAATACAGCACAGGATCTGGCTCTTTGGCCCACCATGTCTATGCTGATCATGATGCCATTCTAAACTACTCCCATCTTCCCTCACAAGGTCCCTATCCCTCTAAATGCCTCTTAAACATTGCAATTATATTTGCTACTACCACCTCCCCTGGAAGCATGTTCCAGGCACCTAAGACCCTCTGCTCAAAAAACTTTCCTCACACATCTCCTTTAAACTTTCGCCAGCGCATCTTAAACCTATGCGCTCCCCTCCCCCCCCTCCCCCCCCCCCCCCCCCCCCCCCCCCCCCCCCCCCCCCACCCTAGTATTTGACATTTCCGCCCTGGGAGGAAGACTCTGAAGATCCACCCTTTCCATGCCTCTCATAATCTTATATACTTCTGTCAGGTTGCCCCACAGCCTCTGACACTCTTGCAAAAACAATCCAAGTTTGTTCAACCTCTCCTTAGCTAAATAAAGTCTGAAAGGACTGCGGATGCTGTAAATCAGGAACAAAGACAGAAGTTGCTGGAAAAGTTCAGCAGGTCTGCCAGCATCTGTGTAGAAGAAATCAGAGTTAATGTTTCAGGTCCAGTGACCCTTCCTCAGAACCCGAAACATTGACTCTGATTTTTTCTTCACAGATGCTGCCAGACCTGCTGAGCTTTTCCAGCAACTTTTGTTTTTGTTCTCTCCTTAGCTAATGCATTCCAATCAGGCAGTATCCTGGTAAACCTCTTTCGCACCTTCCACAAAGCTTCTGCATCCTTCCTATTCTGTTGCGACCAGAACTGCACACAGTACTCGAAAAGTGGCCTAACTAAGGTTTTATAGTGTTGCAACATGACTTTGCCAACTTTTGTACTCAATGTCCCAACCGATGAAGGCAAGCAAGCTGTACGCCTTCTTTACCTCCTTATCCACTTGTGTTGCTACTTTCAGGGAGCTATGGACTTGCATCCCAAGATCATTCTGTATATCAATGCCCCTAAGGGTCCTGCCATTTACTGTATACTTTGCTCTTGCATTTGACCTCCCAGTATATATTAATTTTGCTCTCTCTCTCATGTTTAGGTATCTCACCTATTTTGCTACAAAACTTAGTCCGACTGGCGTCATCCTGGACCTGTGGGAAGCCCAGCATCAGGATGATGGAGACATCAACTCCCTTGCCAGTATCCTCGAGGAGATGGGCAAGAGTGATGTGATGGTAGTCATGACAACAGAAGAATGCTGAAACACAGATAACCTTACAACATAGTGATGGATCCCCAGCATCCATGGCAACTGTTACAGAAATCCACTTGCTGCTGCCTGCAGCACCAAGCCAATTAGGAACAAGTAGCAATTTTTCATGAGAGCTGAAGATGTCATGTACGATCTAGACAAAAAAAAACCTCTCTCCTCTCAAAAGCTTTGGGCAGCTTGTATAAGATTAACAGTTTCTTAGGAAACGCATTTAATTTATTGTCCATATCTTTGGATGCTTTTGTTTTATTCGCTCCTATATTGAGACTTTGTACAAAAATCCGAGGATTTGTTTACATTCACAGTCGATGTAGACATCCTTCAAATCCCAGTGCACATGTTGTACAAAACCGAACAGGGAGAGGAATCCAATTGAGTCACTAGACACAACTATACACGAAGAGGAAGAGGATGAATTGTGAATGCGGGCAGACATCACAGAGTCATGTTAACCCCTTTTGTTTTATTTTTATGTTGCAAACACAGTTTCTCCATTCAGATTTGCAAGGACACAGACTAGATGCCACATCTGTGCAAGTTTCTCATGAGCCACGACTATGGAGTGATTTCTAAAACTTCCCTTTTCGAGACAAGCTCAGTAGCTTTGGCTGAGGGTGCCAATGGCTGGGTTTGTTCCACCTTCACTGTTCACAGTGTCGCAGCAGCATTTGACAGTCAGTCAATAAGCGCAGAGGAATGTCCTATGATGGTTAGCAGGTGTTCACCTAGTAATATCAACCGCAGTCATTTCCAGGCTAGCACCCATCATTTCTGCTTAAAGTGAAGAGATTTATTCATCCACTACAGCTACCCTCCTACCTGCCCCCCTTCACCACATTGCCCCAACTCTCCGTCAGGATACACGGGAGTGATTCCTACCCCAGCCTGCACTAAGTTGAGGCCAGAATTTAAGGAGGCTCGAGGCTGAAGCGAAGCAATAGTCATCCATTGAAGGAACCTACTATTTCCCAGGAGAAATATTCCTGACTCATAATCTTGCAATGGCATCGCAGATGAAAACGGCCAAATCCAGACATATTGCTCCATAACAGAGGCTTTAGTCAGTGCTGTGGTGTCCTCCCCAGCTGCTCCCCCTCTCCGAATTCACCACCTCCATCCACTTCACTGAACCTTCAAAACCTCAAACTGGCGGAACCTGGAGTTCCGAGAACGTTTGCTCCTCGATTCCCTTTTCATATAAACTGGAAGAATTGTAAAGCCATTTTCAAAGCCTGAGGCCAGTTCCCAGAGATGGCTGTGGATTTGGACGAGGATTGGTGCATCGTGTGGGAGTTGCCTCCTCGGGTCAGAGGTCGAAAGGAAGCCCTCACTGGGAGAGAATGCAACCCGAGATCATTTTCTTTTCAGAACCTCTCTCACATAGAGAAGCCTTCACATGGTCTCATTCTGCATTTGACTCCCAAGTGGAGGACTGGTATCCAATGATGTCTTATTCCAAACTTGCCTTTAAATAAAACACCTTTGGTTCTTGTCAAGTCCTCATTGAGACATTTGATAGTAAAAGCCAATAGACATTGAAAGGTAGCTACATCATCAGAAACATCTTAAGTTGAATAAAAGGTCAGGCCAACCCAAAACAACAACAATATAGGTTGAATGTGGGAGTGTGCATTTTTGATGCTGTGGTACTGTCAATAAGAGTATGAGATACCCAAGGCTACACCATCAAAATGACACTAGTATTAGTTACTTGTAAGTGTTGTTTAAATGTTTAAGTACTTGGTAGCACAGCACATTTTGAGTTATTTATTTTCAAGGTGTTTTGGATAAATATATTTTAAATTCATTATTGTGTCATTTTAATTGTTAAATGACTGCTTCAGAAAGTGAAGTATCGGACATGAATTATTATCCTTCGTCTGGCTGGGGGAGAAAGAGCCTTTGTGCTTTTGCCTAATCCAAATCAGACAGCCCATATATGAGGAAATCTACTTGTAATTCCATGATAGGGTTGACAGCTCTCCAAGGATTGCTCTGGAATCTTACGGAATTGAAAATTAATCTCCAGGGGACCGCTATGAGTGACGTCCAGCAAAAGATTCACAGGGCCTTTAGAGAACTTTTATTTCTCAATTTTTTTGAGTACATCTTTTTGTTGTTAGTTACAAAAGGTATAGCGGAGTGGGGGTGTTGTTGCCTGGTGGTTAATGGGAGAAGGGCTGTTTATTTGGGCAGAGGCAGCAAAAACAAGAGTGGTTATGTGCTGAAAATCTCCAGAAACCCAGGGCTGGCACCCTTCAGTCCAAAGGTCTATCTCTCCCCACGCACAAACTAATAACCAGCTAAGCCGCACACTCCTCATTCATTGTTTTAATCAAATTTTATCAACATACAGTGGTGAGCTTTTAAAAGAAAAGAATCCTTGGTTTCGATGACAATATATAGTTTTTATAAAATTATATTTGAACAACCTATGATGGATACTGGTGTCCATTTCAATAATGGTGTAATTGAGATTTTGGACCTAGATAAGAACAATCCCACTTGCTGCAGAGACGGGAAATTGGCGCTAACTTTTAGATGGCCATGGCCAGCATTTTTCAGTATTCATCGATTAAAAGCGGCTAGAGGTGTTTTAATGAACAGTTAATCCCCTTTTTCCCATGTAAGGGGATACCATGACACCAAGCGGTTAGCAAAATAATGCTTTAAATTCTTTCATTCACTTCAAGTGCTATGCAAGTTCATAGAAGTTAACTCATTTTCAGGCATATCGTAATGCTTCAGTTTTTATGTACATCTCTCATATTTATATGTATAGAAAGTGCTAGAATCAATTGCTCTGTCTGTCTTTTCATGTATTTGTTCATTCTGTAAACTACCAATTGTAAATAAGTTTAGCATTCCTATTGTAACAAATTAATTTTTATGCAATAAATTATATTTCCTAGTTTAATGAATGATTGTTTTTCTTTGAAATGCCAAATAGTGCTGCTCATAATGTTATCAATTAGATAATATTCCTCTCCCCTATTTGAACATATTTGGAACTTTTTTTCTTTGGTATATGTAATTAAGGTTATAAGGGCTCATAATATTTTTTGCTCCTTTTGAGATTACTCCAGGGCTACATTTTGATTGTCAGGGGCTTTTAGGCATACTTTCTCAATCTCATCAGTCAACATAGTCACTTAGTGAAAAATACCCTTTGCATCTGTTTTCATAGGCAGAGATTGAGTCCCACAGAGGAGATTTTATCAGCATCCTTATTAATCATCACTGTTCCATTAAACCTGAAGCCTCAAAACACGAGGAAAGCATTAATTTCGTCAAAACCACAGTATTTAAATCAATGAAAAGTAACAGGCGTAAATTAGCAACAAATGTTTTCTTAAAACTCTGACTCATTTCTGTTCTCATACCACACCAGGTTATAGTTCAACAGGTTTGTTTTGAAATCACAAGCTGACCGAAGAGCGAGGCTCCAAAAGCTTGTGATTTCAAATAAACCTGTTGAACCATTACCAGGCATCGTGTGATTTCTGACTTTGTCCAACACTGGCATCTCTACAAAAAACTTCTGTTTTAAAAGAGATATCACCTTAAACATGTTTTCATTGGCTGGCAAGATGGTAGTTAACCTATTACATGTTTGACTCCAACACAGTCACTGCACCTCAAGCGGTTCACAGAAGGGCAAGTGCTTTGAAACACGATAACTTAAATGCAAATCTTTATGAAATAAAACTGTTCAATATTAAATTATGCACATTAACAGTCCTCACTGCAATCATATCCATTACACGTTCGCCCATATTTTAGCTCCTGAACTCTTGCAAGATTAATCTAAACAGTAAGTTTCAAAGAACTCATTGCCCCAGTTTTTCTATTCCTGTTGGGCCAGCATTACTTTGCTGAAGAATTGGAAACTATTTTCCCCCCTTGTCAGCACCTTTCGTCCCTTTCAGACCCGATGCCCCATTTGAATCTTTTTTTCCCTCCCTACCCCTCTCAGCTTCTCTGTTCCTCAACTGCTAGATCCTATTCATTTATAAGACATTTGGACAGGTACATGGATAGGAAAGGTTTAGAGGGGTATGGGCCAAATGCAGGCAAATGGGACTAGTTCAGTTTAGGAAACCTGGTTGGCATGGACAAGTTGGGCTGAAGGGCCTGTTTCTGTGCTGTATGCCTCTATGACCTTGCTCCCCAGCCACTGCCCCATTCCGCAGAGTCAGATTTGTTCGCTGGCCATTCATGACCCCCACTTCCACCAGCCTCACTCACCGCCACCACTCATCTCAGTCCTCCAATCACAGGCAGATTCTTATCCCGCACCCGCTGCTGGTGGGTTCGTAGTGCTCCTCAGGGGTCAGTTAGCTCAGTTGGCTGGACAGCTGGTTTGTGATGCAGAGTGATGCCAACAACTTGGGCTCAATTCCTGCACTGGCTAAGGTTACTGTTGAAGGACTCTCCTTCTCAACCTCTCCCCTTTCCAGAGACATGGTGACATTCAACTTAAACCACCACCGGATGTTTCTCTCTATCTAATGAGTCAGTAGCCCTATGATCCCCTGGGACGACAGCAACTTGAGCTTCACATCATGGACCTATTGAAAGCAAGCACAGGGGAGAATCAGCTCTGTGATTGAAAGAGCTGTGACTCACTGATTCCATCTTCGATTTACTGGCTCAGAGACAGTGACATTATCCATTGGACCAGCTGATGTTCAAGTAGCTTTATTGTCACATGTACTCACAGGAGTAGAGTGAAAAGTTTACAAGTTGCCACTTACAACGCCATCTTAGGTACAGGACACTGAGGTACAGATTCTTAGGGGAAAATAATTAGCAAAATGAGGAAATAAAACGTCCAGCAATAAATTAGAAAATGGACAAATAAGAGTTCAGAATAACAGTCCTTCCAACCCAGACCGTGCTGGGCTTCACCTCAAGCCTGGGAGTCCAAGTCCACACTGAGGCCGGGAGTCCCAGACCACACTGGGGCCGAGAGTTTGAGTCCACGCTGAGGCCGGGAGTTCGAGACCACGCTGAGGCCGGGAGTTCGAGCCCACACTGAGGCCAAGAGTTCAAGCCCACACTGAGGCCGAGAGTTCAAGCCCACGCTGAGGCCGGGAGTTCACGCCCACACTGAGGCCG